TGGCATATCGAGGAGACTCTGAAAAAAATTCGGTGTAAAAGTAATAAGGGGACGTTTAACAAATAAAGAATTGCCACTAAGTATAGGTACACATTTACAATGATTGGTGGAGACTGTCGCACTTGTCCGGTCGCATAACGTTAAATTGAATGAACACGTCATTAAATTTGGATGATCCACTTCAAGGCGATGAGAACATAGGTAAATGACGATGAACTAACATGCGATCATAGGGCGCTATCCATATCGTGTGCTTGCCATCCGCAGCGTGCGATCGATGTTATAAATTAGAGTTAAAATATTGAGTGTAGATTTTAAAACGAATAATGTATTAGTAACGAACGGATCACATGGGTTTGAAGTTCGACAAGGGTTAGGGAAGGTATGCTAGATGGTAGCAGATGCGCGAGTAATGTGGGGTGCGATCGCAATATTTATCGCGATTGGGAAATATAATAAAAGGGCAAACTGCAGAACAGAATTTGATCATAAAGACTATCAACCTCTGATTGAGGACTTGTAATCAACCTTTTATGTGCTCGACGTATTTGCGCTTGTGCAGTAGAAATAGTAAGTAAACGTAATATATATTGTGTGCTAATTACCCTTCGTTATTTTTCTAACCATATGCAGTTGACGACCAGTACTGCAACTTTACCTAGTCAAGTTATGCCTGGCACACATCCAGCGTGCCCATCACCGTGTGTCGATCCTGGTCCCATATGACGTCCGGGCGTCTTCTTCTCACCTATTATCTCCCGTTGAAGTTCGACACAACGATCCTCTTACCCAGTCCCAAATCGCAAGCCGTTGCGTCTTGATCCCATCTGTCAACTTGGTAGCCAAGCAGGTGAGATTGTCCTTTACCAGTCATGGGTCTTGCAGTCTTCACCCGGAGCTTTCATGACCTGTCAGATACAATTTCTTCTAACATCACATTATGTACACACTCAGCAATTCAAACTTCATAATCGCGTTTCGCTTTTGAAGACATGATTGCGTCGAGTACAGGACCGCAGTACGCACGAGATAGATATATGGATCTATTTCGCAACAAGCAACGTGATATGCGTTTTGAGATTAATCTGGACGATTGCAGGAAGTGGAACCTATAGTACATTGTTATGATATTCGGCGAAAGACGACGCGTGACAGCAAGTACGAATACTGATGAGGGAATGTGAGTAGCTTTTAATTGAAAGGGTAAACATTTGACAGTGTGCATATTGATTCAAGCGATGCGTGTCAAATTTGCTCCGAAAACATGTTAATAACATATCGATATTTTTGGCTACCACCCCACGTTCTGTGCAAAGTGCGGCCCTGAAGTGTTTGCCCATTCCCGTCAATAAACTCACGACAAAGCTCGACTTTAATTGGAAGTAAAGATAGCATCGTCTCTTAGATACAAGACGCCCGAGACGGCTTAAGTGGTCAGAAGGCAAGTGAAACAAGTATCAAGATTAAATTTCGGTATAAGATGGCCACCATTGTAATAATGGGTTCTATATCCAATTATGTTCTATAGAATCGACGCCATCAAGTGAAGATTCATTAGAAGTACTCGGTGTGGGATAACCTTATCGAAATTCTTCCGCCGATTCGTCTTTGATACGATAAGATATATATACCGCCCTGTATTTCCCCGAAAAACGTGCATTCTCCCCGCCGACGGCTGCTCAGAGTGACCCTGCTTTATACATGGCAACGAAATACTCCTCCGATCGTCGGTCGCTGAGCATCAGTAACCAGTAGGATTAGCATCAGCAATTATGCGGATACCACTCCACCACAATATTTATTTACATGGGGGACTAAATCAAAACTGATTAATGCGATCTTGATTTTGCTTATCATGAACCGATGTTCCGTTGACGTGACAACATCGATATCGATGATATAGATATCAATCAAGACACACTTAACAAGAGCGATATAGCTTTTGCTGATTGAGTTAATGATGGCTATGTCAGAAAATCCATAGGTCAGCAACTTTATTTGGGAACACTGTGATGCCTCGCTGATAAAGAGGAACGAGACGCTCACGATGACATAATGAACATTTAATCGTATTGTGCATGAGGTAACGATGTCAAATATATAGGCAATTCTGGACTATATCTGCTTGCATGACAAGGGTGGCATGTTTCGTCTAAGATTCCATTAAAGAAGCAGTATACCGACAAAATCAAAACGCTGATAATCATGTAAGGGCAAACCTTTTTCTATATCCAACGAAGACGCTTTGGTCCTACTTTAATCGGTGAACACAACTAGATCCGTGGTTACATATGTGGGCAGCAAAAAACAACTTCCCAAATATATCGGCCCATTTTTGTGTGCGTCGCCTAGTCAACGCTTGAACGATTGAGAAGCCTCTTATGATGCGCACGCATCCCGATATTTACACTAGGGGCTTGTCCGCCCTTACTATTAGTACAAGGCCTCTTCCGACGTTGAAGATATATACGAAGATCAAGCAACTCCATCATATTCTTGCGATCTCATTTCAGGCTTTCAACTTGGTCGCGTTTAGAAGCGATTAACTTACGTGATTAAAAGATCTTTGGTTGGTCGTTAGTACCTTTCTCTCTATCAAACTTACCCGCGCTCATCGTTTAACTGCAAGAACGCGTAGTCGGAACGATTATTTATAGTGATCGGCCCGATGCCTCTGAACTGTATTAATCAGAGTTGGACGTCTTAACGATCATATTCAAGATCATCCCACAACTTAGCACCACGCATTTCACTACCTCAACACTAACTTGGTCTGACGCTTGAGCCTGATTTTTCTTCACGCCACCATTACATCCATTGGTAGTTTCACGAGGTGATCACCGCTATCTGGCAGATCATCTGGGACCATAGAGACATAAAGAAGAGTTGGATCTTTTACCTCGTCCGGTGGCCCGGTCATATGCCTTCCTCGGAAGATGTGGTACCTCGAATTTAACTAGTATATGACGACCTGGATCTGTCTAGCATCACGACGTGGCCAGCCGATGGTAAAAAAGATCAGCAGAATATGATTTCCCACGCGCTCGCAAAAAGCTTACATGTTCGCAGCCCTTCGTTCAGTTCATAGGTTTACATGCCATCTGATTGGGCTAATCAAGGAAGAAAACCTTTCTGGGATCACCGTTTGAGCTGTCATGACGACCCTGAAAAGGACTGCCCGTGAGAGGCAGGTGAATTCCGCCTTTCAAGACAACCGGTGCAACATCGCCCATCACAATTTAGATTGCGGGTCATAAACCAATTGCATGCAACATCAATTTTGTCAAGCCAGGCCTCACGGCCATTGCACTCAACATTAAGAATGTATGCATTCCCAACTTTACCCTTCAAGATACCGCCACGGTGACGATTACCTCATTACCACTGATGCTTAAGGAAGACATTAAAGTAGAAGCAATACCCAGTGCGATGCTTCTTCCCACGGACTTCGAGGCAAAGGAGCATGGACGAATTAAACAACGAGGTTTGTAGGTGCACACCCACCCTTTAAAGCCCCCCAGTACCGTAACCTGTCTAACTAGGCACGCACACTTATACATACAAAATGCCATATAAATATTCTGTGCTTTATACACACACCTCCTTAATACAGGCCTTTTTTGTGTCAGCACAGAGCCTTGCATGTGAAATCCGCTCTCATAATCCGGTACACCCCTATAAGTACCCCATAGCGCTACAACTGCTTTTTCTATTAACAGTGTCGCTGCTAATCGTGGTGCTATCTCGTGGCTATAGTCAGCTGTTGACGCAAGAGCGGCCGCAAACCTTCACGATATTCGACGGAACGTGATCGTGTTGTCAAGTATGCCTTGCAGTAGGATGCAGTAGGTGGACGATAAGATTCTGTATTGCTTCTTACTAGTTCTCTCTCCTCTGCCGTGCTCCCCAAAGCCCTCTGCTCCAGTCATCTAACTCGCACGCATTCCGACTCTACCTGAATACAAACACTATTCTGCTTGTCAATCTGCGTCCACCATTTGCGCACAGCAAGTTTATGACATCATGGTCCCAAATAAATCTCAAGTCACCGGTTTACCACTCCGATCGCCTATTCGTGCCCTCGCACCCATTTCCAACATCCAACATTTCCAACAGCTCGCTCAGCAGTAAAGGAGATCGGTCAATGGTGGCAGACGAATAAGTCAGCGTCGGCCCACGACAATGCGACCTTATGGATACGAGGTTCAATACTGCACAACGTTCGGTGTTATCGCGTCTTTTCAGCTGAGGTCGACTGCATCGGTCCCCGCTGGAGTCAGATATTTGGGTCAACCCTTTTTCGCCTAAAATCTTGTCGCACTCGGATGTTACCGACCAACTTTGGATTATACCGAGCACCTGCACGATCGCCGATAGAGCGAGAGGGAGAGAGAGCGTGACTTGTTCTGCCTGACTCGTCTTTCACCCGCTCTGGACTACCAATTCCCGATGGCTGTCGGTATCTCCACGTCCGCAATGCACCCACGCACGCACGTTGCCCCTTTTCCCCTATTCGTCCACTTCAACTTACTCGTCGTCCACTTTTCCCTTCCAGCGACCGCGCAAAGCCCGTTGCCCATCACTTTATGACCGCATTGGCGAAGCGCAAGTGGACCGCGCCCGACTGGGACGTGGCCATGGCGGCCCACAGCTTCGTGGCTGTGCTGGCCTCGCGCCCCGACCAAGAGCGGGCGGGCGAGCGCCTACCAAAGAAGACGCCGACAAACGCGAGGGCGACGAAGCCGCGGCACGCGCAGACGGACGACGACGGGACGTTGGAAGCGACGAAGGACGTGGCCACGTGCACGTTCTGGCTGGCACAACTGCAGGACGACGTGACAGAGGACATGTTGGCCGCCCACGACGAGACGAGTGTCCGCGTCACGTGGCTTCAGCACACCGCCCAGCGTCGCTACGTGGTCACCTACGACGACTGCGTGGACGTTGCCAGTATCTTGTGCCAGGTGCGTCTGTGCGAGCCGACGGCGTCGACGCTGGAGATGACAGCAAAGTCGCTATTGCGCGTACAGCGCTGTCTCGCGCGCTCTCGTGCAGCACGGGCGGGGCAGCCCGTGGCAGCTGAAGAGGACGACGACGACGACGACGACGACGACGAACGGTTGCGGCCGTCTCTCTCGCTGGACAGCAGGAACAGACGTCGTGCGGCTGTGCACCGACGGACGACGTCGAGTGCCAAGCGCGTCAAGATCGAGGGGCGGACGCCAAGAGATCGCGGCGGATCTCTGCTCCTCCCGGTGCTGCGTGCAGAGGTGGACGAGGCTGCGTACGAGGATCTAGAGGTGCTGGGCACGCAGCCTTTTCGATCGTTTCGAGGGGACGTGGCTTCAGCAAACCGAGAAGTCGTGCGCGCTGTGCTGACCAAGAACCTCAAGCTGCTCGAGACGCTTACGACGTCAGCGCACGTGTACGCGGAGCTGAGCACGTTTGACGCGCCGCGGAGTGCAGACGTAGCGCGGACAGCGTTGCACTACGCGATCGATCACGACGATCTAGCAGCTGTAGTGCTGTTACATAGGACAAAGACGATCGACGCACAGAAATTTGCTGCTGCTCCCGAGGTGGCACTACCGTCGCACTCGACTGGACGGCACACGAGTCAATATAGCGCCTACGATCGGCGTGCGGTCAATGCTAGTCGTGGAGGAAAAGAAGGAAATAACGCGCTGCTTGGTGATTGCACTAGCGATCGGACACCGTCACTCGACTATCTTTGGCGCAGTCCGGATACAAGTGTTGAGATGTTTACACTGATGTATCCAGTGGGGGATTGGACAAAGGGCTATGACATGGGAACAAAAGTTTGCCAAGCTGCACGCTGTGGTAACTTCCGGTTGGTACGCAAAGTTGTCGAGACGTTGGAGAAAAACGGTGGATGGGGATTCAACGAGCTGCACTACAGAGTCCTTGCCGATTGTACTGCTAACAACCATGGTGGACACGCGTCTCTGTTGCCTCCATTTCGTGCTGTGTCAGCACTAAAGCAGGCAAGCCAAACGCGGCTTCGCCCTTTGCACTTGGCGTGTATAAACCCCAACTCAAAGTTCCTTGCGGCGCTTTGGGATGTGGTAGGAGACGAATTTGGGGCGGTCAAGGATGACCAGGGCTACGAGCCCATTCATTATGCGGCAGTATGCGAGTTTGCTGCCCCTATGGAGTTTTTGTTGGAGCGACGCTGCAATATGCTTGGTCGAACCAAAACACGATTGACACCGCTGATGTGCGCACTTGAGGCGGGACGAGAGGAGACAGCCATTGCATTACTTGAGTTTGCTGTCAGGCTGAGAGAGAGTGGTGGCGAAAGCCAAGAAGTCGTCGGCAAGCTTGTTCGTGAGAAAGGCCCCGGAGGCAAGCAGGCTGTACATTTTGCAGCAAGGCACGGGTGTGTCAAGGTTTTGGAATACCTATTGAGAGAATGTGGTTGCGCCGTAGAGGTGAATGCTACAAGCAACGGCACAAGCAAAGCGACCCCATTGGTATTGGCAGCACAGGAGGGCCATATTGAGTGCGTTCGTGTGTTGCTTGCAAATGGAGCTCGTGTCGATAGTGGTGATAAGCTAAAGAAGACACCGCTGATACTTGCTGTGAAGAATGGCCATACACGCGTTGCAGCAGTACTTATCAATGGCGGTGCAAATGTAAACGCCTACGACTCGTCAGGAAATAGCGTGGCTCACTACGCAGCTAGTTACGGGTGGCCTTCGTGCCTGCAGATGTTGTGTGACGTTGGCGCTGAGCTGTGGTCTCAGAACGCATGGGGCTTCTTGCCACTTGCGTGTGCGATGCTCAAGCAGCGGCGTTCTTGCGCTGAGATCATACTAGCTCAGATTAGTTGTGCGGCGCATCAAGCATCGTTGAATTTCAGAGACCGGGAAGGTCGAACGGTACTATTTTCGCACTGCCAGCATTCACATAACCTTGAACAGCTTGGCTATCTACTTGGAAAGGGAATGAACCCGAACATTGGCGACTCAAACGGTGAATACCCGTTGCAGCGCTTGATCAAGCGTGCTTGCGACGACGCCCCACAAGATGAAGATATTAATGTCGTCTTCCGGAAATCCGCTGCATCTTTCGTGGAAGCGATTAAGCTTTTGCTGCAGTATGGTGCCCACCCGCAGTACGAACTGTACCATGAACGAGTAAAAGACACGGAAACATTTGAGACGCCCATAATGCAACCACTCCAGATAGCCATGCTTGGCAAGCAGGTTGATATAGTTGCGCTGTTGCTTGAACACAGCAGTATTCGTCCTGCAGCAAGATCTTCAGACGGGTCTGACGCATGGATCACTGCGGCATCGTTAGGCGCTGGTACCGGAGATTCCTTTCTGTCAATGCTGCTAACGCATCACAACAACTTGACAAATGGTGGGCCACTGCTTCTTGAAGGAAAGTCAGAACGCGAGCGTGAGAATTTTTTTCATGTCGTGGCAAACCAAAAGGCATCTCAGCTGTCAGCGCGGTCCGATCTGATTCGTGAATGTGCTGACAAGTGCCCCTCGACATCCGAATTGATGTGTGAGAAAGACTCTGCCGGCTACACTCCTGTAATGCGCTTACTTTATCCCAGTCATGAGCTGAACGCGATATCTTGTCCAGCGGTGATCGAAACTAATTTTGACAAGTTACAATACATGCGTAATGTTGCTACGCGGCTTACGCAGCTGTTTAAAATTTATGCGGAAATGTCGACAAGGCGCGAGAACTTTGTGCGATGCGAAGAAGTATCGCGTTTGCTCGTACGTACTGGATACGTTTGTGCTGCTAAAGAGAATAATTACGTGGGCAATAAAAATGGGCCTGTCGAAAGAAGTAACTCGGAAACGGTATCCGTAAGCGGTAGTTCTCACGGATCTACCGCATATCTTGGCGACAAAACTAGGAGTGACAGCAATAGCAGCAACAGCACTGATGATCGCATTGCCCCGATAAGGCATTTGTCTACATTTGGTACAATATCAAAGGATGAAGCGAAGCAAAAAGTGATGGTCGAAGTTGAGACGGCCATGCATTTCATTGCCAGACAAAAGCAATTGGGCGAGGTGGCGAACTCGCGGAGCAAGTCATTAGATTGTACTGATCAGACTACTGAATGCCTAATGGACGTGTTACTCGAAAAGCGTCCTGAGCTATTTTCTTCTAGCCGTGGTCACCAAGTCAATGCGCTGGTGAACTTTGTGGATCTGTGCAGCTACAAGACCGCGTTGCATTACGCAGTGGAAATGGGAAATGAACCGACTGTACGTGTCTTATTGGAGCACCAAGCTGACGCCAACTTGTCGCCAGTACGATGTGCGAATTGTAGTGAATTTGCCGTTGCCGACGCCGTTGCTCGAGCCAAGCAGGATACATTTGTCAGTCGCGATACTAATCTTTCTTGTACAGGACACTGCGGCCTGCACACGCGTGTGGAGCCGGCGCTGTATGAATCTGTTAAACGCAGACACGTAAAATGCACGCGTCTGTTACTGAAGCACGGTGCCCGCGTTGACTGTGTTGGAAGACTCTTACATGAATCACCGCTACATGTAGCTTTGAAGGCCAATGATTGTGCTTCGGCGGGTGCGCTACTTTCCCATGGTGCCAGTCTACTGACACAGGACATTTCGGGGGCTTCACCGTTGCATCTAGCAGTTGCTGCGAAACATTCTGTCCCAGCGAAGAAAGCCAATGTAAGCGAAGTCGCGTACTCGACGGTCAGTATCGCCCAGCTTTTGCCAGCTGGTCGTCCAGTTTCAGCAAAAGCAGCTCAGTTTTCCGTAACATTGTCGACCGATGCCAATGAGCCGCATAAACAGCAAGCTTCTATGGAGACGTCGGCTATTCTGATTGCGTTAAACAATGCAAACGCTCACAAAGCCGTTGTTCTTGGTGACTCGAAGAACAGATCTATTGTGCATTATGCAGCACGCAATCGCGACCTTGATTTGTTACGAGAGCTTCTTCGAACAGCGGGTGAGAGTGGCGTACGTGACGCTGTGAATCAGCGAGATTACCTAGGCCGGACACCTTTACATTATGCTGTGAACGCCGCTGCCATGAGTGCTGATGCATCGTTTGCAGTAGAGCGTTTTCTTTTGCAGAGTGGTGCCATCTCTAGCACTCAAGATTGCTTTGGGTTCGGAGTTCTGCATTTTGCGCTGGTTAAGGTGCAGCTCGACTGGCAAGAGAAGCACGAAAAAATGCACAAGCTATTGCGCGACCAGAAGGATCGTGTAGGACACTCATTCGGCGCAGAGAAACATGAGGTTGAAAAAGCTTTCCTTGTTGAGCACCTGTCCGTCATTCCAGACAGAGAAACCGACCCGGTCGAAACCGTGTCCAATCTAGTAGCGGAATGCAACCTCGATATCATGGCGCAAGATATACTGGGACGCTCTCCGCTGCACCTGTCAGCGGCCACAGGAGCGTTTGTTTGTGTGTCGACGCTTCTCACTTTCCTCGGAAATGCAAGCAAGCAGAAGGTGTGTATGGCTCAACAAGACTGCGATGGGTTCACGCCACTTGGCCAGGCTATCTTGCACAAGCGGCAGACAACCATTATGACTTTGTTGCGTAGTGGATCTACCGTCGGTGGGACGATACGCATCGCTCGCCAACCTGTCATTTTTCGTGATGGCTTTGCTTCGTGTCCATTGGTATCATCTTCCAAAGGCGAATCAATGGTGAAGACACGAAGTTACTTTCATCACGCAGTGCGCAACGGACTTACTGGCGTTTGCCATATGTTGTTGAGTGCACATTTCTGTCGGCGCCAAGCTATCGAGGATTCGGTGCGTTGTAGCCAATTCCAGCTTGCAAATAACTTGCTGGAAGCATTGGTATCGGGGTCTGAACATGGTTCAGAGCTCTTAAGGCGTCCTAACTCACGAGGTGAGACATTGCTACATTCTTTGGCCAAGACAAAGCAAACTGTGTTTTGCACCCTTGCAAAGAAGTTAGCGTGGGCGCTGTTGGGTGCGGGTGTTCGTGTTGATGATCGCGATAAGATGGGCAACATCGCTATGCACTACGCAGCCAAGCGGGGAAATACGCATTTGATGGATTTCCTTCGTCACCACAGCGTTGGAGCAAATACTGAGAACGTGAAGAATCGGGCGGGAGAGACCCCACTTGTGTACGCCTTCAAGCAAAAGAGTACTAGTGGCAGCTCCAGTGATGACCAATTGTTTGCTGTCTTGTGTTACTTTTTGGAACATCCTTTGCTCGCACTGGACATTAACCACGCCGACAATTGTGGCGTAAATGTGATCAGTGCCTTCTTGGATCGCTTTACAGAGAGCCTTGCTGTAGCAAAACCTGTACTATACTTTACTATGTTTGAAACTCTACTTGCGCGAGGTGCCGACCCGAACCAACGATTTCACGTTGCACACGCGACAGCACTCGAGCAATGGAACGATTCCTGTGGAGAGCTGTATGAAGGTAGTGATCGGCTGCTGCGGTCAGGTCGTAAGCTCCGCGAGACTACGACTTTGGCCAAAGGAGGCATGGGAACGATGCCACCTCTTATACGTGTAGCATTGACACCTGATGCGTCCATACGTTTTCACGCGCTGGCACTCCTACTTCGATACGGCGCCAAATTGTCAGCATGTGACGGGAAAGGAAACACGGTGCTCATGCATTTAGTCGCGCGTAATCTTGTTGCTGAGACGCGTCTCGTGCTCGGGCTTGTTCGGTCCGTGCCTGATCCCAAAGATATGTTTGCACTCGCCCCCGTGACACGCATGTGCTCACTCCATATTCCAGAAGCCATCGTGAAAGAAATGCTTGGTCAGCGCAACGCAAATGGACTAACTGCTTGTCACATTGCTGTGCAGCCACTTGACTATGGATCTTATGAGAACACGAACTTATTGGCAATGCTGATTCGTGCAGGTGGTGACTTGCATGCTAAGGATAGCTCGGGACAAGATGCTATCGACTACACGAGGAGCCAGCGCTCGTGCTTTGTTTCTCGATTTCTTCAACGAACATATCCCGAAGTCGTCTCGATGACGCAAGCCAGAAAAATCGAAATTGCTACCGAGTTCGCCGTTGCTCTGCCGTATGTGGACGACGCTAATGCGTATCTGGCTGGTTGCAAGTTGTCGGGCAAGATAAAACAGTCACATGTACTTGCCAAGGTGAACGCGAACTGCAACGTCGGCAAAGAAAGCAAAGTGTGTCGTGAGGGTGAAGGCAGAGGAATAGCACTGGACGCGTTATTGACAAAGGTAGACGTGAGGAGTGGGCGTTTTGGATCGAATGTTTTTTATCGTCTGCAGCTAGTCCACGATGAGCTACAGACGATCTTCGTGCTCTTCACAAACTGGGGCCGGATTGGTGAGACTGGCAAATTTCAGAACACACCTTTTCGGGATGAAGCAGAAGCCAGGGGTGAATTTAAGAAGATATTTCGGAGCAAGACCGGCAACACATGGGAATCGCGGACCGCTGGCAATTTTGTGAAGAAGCCGAAAAAGTACAATCTCATCGAGCGTGTGAATTATTCTGCGCAGGTGGACGACGAGGTGACTAGATCATTTCGAGCGGACATGGAAGACAAAGGTCGCAAAAGACCAGTATTTGTCGAGCCGAGCGATCCGGACTTGGTGGGTTGCCCGGGCGTGATGGCTATGTTGGCTGCTATCACCGACGTGCACAATTTGCAGCTTGCAGCAGAGTCCAACTGTGGTTATGCTGGTGGCGACTTACCGCTTGCGAAACAAGAAGAGTTGCGTTTGGCGCTGGAGAAGCTGGTCAGAATCCGTGGTCTGCTAGAAGAGAAGGAGAAGTTGATGAAGGAGATTGAAACTGCAAGCTGTGATCTCAGCGACGAGGGGTTCAGCAAGCGCGCACTTCTCATCGCTCGCCACGAAACACTGATAGAGGACGTGAGTGAGCGGAGCAGCCGGTACTACGAAATCATGCCGTGTCAAGAAACTACTCTCGAGTCTTCGATCAAAGCTTTTGACCAGGCGAGCGACGTCAACGTTGAGATTACGCGCATGCGGATGTTGTCGGATATTGTGGAGATCTACAAAATGATATTGGGCGCAAAAAGCGCGGTGGCAGTACGTAACCCTCTAGAGTACTGTTACCATTCGTTGCAAGTGCGACTTGCGCCGTTGCAACCAAACGACAATGAACGGCAACTCATCCACCGATATTTCTTTGGTGGGTTGCATATGCGGGATCGCCAACGGTATTGCATCAGCAACGTTTTTGAAGTCGAACGCCGAGGTGAAAGTGAACGCTTTGATGATCTCATGAAAGAACGCCCTGATCTGCGAGCTACTCAAACGCATTTGCTCTGGCACGGAACAAAGCGTACGAATTTGTTGGGTATTTTGTCCCAAGGACTACGTGTAGCCCCGCCAGAGGCTCCGCACCACGGGTACGCATGCGGCAAAGGTCTATACTTCGCGAATGTAGTCGAGAAGAGCCTCGGCTACTGTGGTACGCCTTACGCACTTCCTGTCCTCAATAAGGAAGGCAATGTAGGTGAGAACATGACGAAGACACATGAGGTCCACTATATGCTGCTATGCGAAGTAGCGCTGGGAAAGTCGACGGAGCTCGCCACAGCAGCAGCGTGGACAAGTTTCGACTCCATGCATCATGGAAGAATTGACAGTGTGAAAGCGCTGGCTACCCATTTACCCGATCCACGCCATGAGGTGGTATCGCCAAAGTGCGGAGCAAAGCTGCACTTAGGGCGAGTGAAAAAGGTAGGTCGTGAACTACCGTACGACCGCGCATGGGCCAAGACAGAGCCTACACCAGTGCCAGTAGCATGGCATGAGCGTGACCCGAAGTTCAACTCCTTGACGCAAGATTACTTGGCCAGGCTCGTGGCAGACAAGAGCTTCGGTACTGGTGACACACATACGGTAAGCACAACGGGTCTCGATCGTCAGAACTTTGTTCAGTATGGATACCGTGAGCGTGCGGTGATGATCGGGTTGGTGAGTCGTGAAACACTCGAAGCTGATAGGGACACAGATGCGCCTTGTAGCGACGCCTGGTGCGAAGCCACTCTTAAGGTGACAATTCGGCCGAACAGCGCGATGCCGTACAGCTACTTGGTAAGGTTATACCGAAACGTATTGGTTACTTCACGTTTGGCTGAAGGTTTCAAGCTGGTGGAGCCGACGCTGTCGAAGTATGCAGAGCTTGTGGTGTACAATGAAGCACAAGCCCGCATTCGGTATGTTGTCGAAGTGAGAATGACGTGACGTTTACCACGGCAATGATCGTCCGACATGCTTCTCAGAGTCCGAGTCAGACGCTGTATGTACGCGGTCGAAGCACGGACCTGGTTAGGTCCAGTCTTCTCGAGGTGTTTTCGCCTTGCATTGCGCAGGAGAACGTGAAAGTAGTGATTGGGTATATCTTGTTAGCAGATACTACCGGTCCATAATCGCTGGCAAACGATGGCTTAAAGAAGTAAAAGCTCGTGAAGATACGCAAGGTCACGGTCTGCGTATACTTCAGCGTCGCTCGACGCGTCCGAGTTTTCCAGTAGTTGACGCCATGTTAAATGCCAGCGGAGAGTTGCAGCAGACAATAGCCAAGTGGACCTAGTTTCCGAAAGATAAGCCGGCGTATTTCTTGTTGTGTACAGGTTGACGGACCGCACAGCGTTGCTATATCGCTCGTTTCAAGACTCGACACGCGATGTATCGTGGTGGCCATGAAAGCAGTACGATAGTCGTTGTGGCCGATATCGTCACAGGAAATGATTGGACAACGATGTTGACAATGAGTGAGCGCCAGAATTGGCTGCACGCAGCCGAGAAGCCGCGCTTTAGGCTGCTTTGGGGCGCACGGTAGGTTGGTGTTTCGAAAATAACACCAAGTCATTACACGAACGTCTTCTATTTGAGCATCAAGACATGCCTATATACTCGGCGGGGTTGGACTATGTTGACGGCAGGTAGCTGCTCGCAGCAACAGCAACCACTGTTCATTCTAGTGAGCTTAATATAATGCAGGCACAAGGTCCGTAGTTGTTTTTCATTCATGTAAGCCCACAACGTATTGTGGTGTAGAAAAAGATCGTAAAATTAACTTTGAGCTAGATATTCACGAGACTAAAGATGCACTGCATGGTAAAAAAATGCAATACGGTGCGCGCCCCCTATAACCTGGATCTTTTTTCTCGGCGGCCAAATTTAAAACAGAAAGAAAAGTTATTTCCCGCCGTTTCCTCAACCAAAAACGCCTTTTTTCAACCCTCCCGTCGAACTGCTCACTAAAATTACGTCTTCTGCATGTTTTCAACACCTATGTACTACTTTGTCAGCAAACAAGAACATACCACGCCTCAACAAATGGCTTCGGCAATTGCAGGTTATGAGGGTAGTTGCTGCACCCACAGTGTCATCCCAAAACCGATGTGATTTCAAGAGCCAAAACGAGCTTTGTGGGGCAGACTATCACTGCGGCCGTCTATCACGTCATTTATACTCGGATCCATTGAAAACTATGCTTCATCAAATTGTTCTGGTGAAAATTAAAATTAAATGCTTGAAAAGGGCCTGGAGCACATGGTCTTAAAATACCTTGCATTCGTCTCTCTAACTGCCACCCGCCCGCCATCCTTAAAGTGCCTCGGGTGCTCGGACGTATATCGCAAGGTCCTGACTGGAAAGGAAGCCGAATACGCCGTATAGAACTATCGGTCGCATATTAAGGCTCCAATTATATTTTGACGGATGTGAACGTTTTCGCTGCTGCCAATTATGGGCTTTGCAATAATTTTATGCAAAACATAATGGGTTTTGATATTTTTGGATAATTGCATGCGTCGTTTTTAAGTAAATAAAGACATTAACCGGCAAAACAATGCCGTCTAGAGTGACGACAGCCATTTTTACACTTTGGTTACTGCAAAAATGGCTTTTATACGCTTATTCCTCTTCCAAGGAGTACGTGAAAAGTTTCAAACAATCAAGAAAAATAAGTACGTGGGGGATTTGGGGCGGCCAATTGTGGCTTGCCGCGAGCCAAAATCGATAATATTTATATTATGCTCCGAACTTAAGGTTCCTATAACTTGGCGTAAAATCTGTCAAATCCTTAGTCGAAACTATTAAAATGAAGATAGTAGCATACTCTCGCCATCTATGGTCTTGCTTTGTGTTCATGGAACATGGGGTGAGGAGTTGCTGAGAAACAGAGATCGAAAATTGTTACAAGTAATGGATGGGGCACACTACGAGATACAAAATTTAGCAAATGCAACTTAATAGGAAATGATAAGAAAATGCTTCACGATGTAAAAAAAAACGGTAAAATTTAAGCGTGCCTAATTTTACTCACATTAATTTACGCATATCGTATACATTCCTCTCCAATTATATTAATCAGAGAACCGTACTTGTAATTTAATGAGACCACGTCACATCAATCGCTCATGCTTAGATATTAAATTGTGGTATCGTGTAGATGTGTAGCTGTCTCCTTGCCGTTACTTTAGAAAAGAACGAAAGAGACAGCGCAGTTTTAAAAGTTGCCCGTTTGCGTTGCTGTAGAAAATGTCGAAGACGCAACATTAGTCAGATGAGGATTCGAATTAATGAGGCATGAAGAAGAGACAAGACACTGGAGATAAAACGGAATATTTTGCCAGTTAAGATATCTATGCAGATGCTTGCGGACACAAAAAGTAAAATAGACGATTATTTTTAGATGAAACTGGTGAAGTTGTCAACATGAAGTGGATTTCGGTGGTAGTCATGTCGTTGTTATTGATCTACATGTAAATATGTACAAAACATAAATTCATGTGCAACAATGCTGTTTCCAATACAGGTTTTTCGATACTCGTGATAACGGCTTCTAATTGGGAAAGATTGAACGTTTGACACTTATCGTAACACTTGATTGTGATACATTTATTGGGAATTCTTTGTCCATGCAGTGCCGAAGGGCACATACATTCGCGTTGCAGAGTGTATGTATCCTGTACCAAAAGACGCTTGTGTGTCAAAATCTTCATCTCATAGAACATAGTAAGCAATCGATACAAGATCCTAAATCACAACAAACGCAGTATTGACCTCTCTCAATCAATTACGACATTAGCATGAACCTTCAATACTGAGTAGAAAGTGTAAGTGAGTCCAAGCACGTGCACGAAAGTACAGTATATATCATTGGCGCTGTTTTTTGATGTGTCATCTTGTTGTACATATCGTGTTTTCTTATCCATGTTGCGTGTTTATATCTCTGAATGAGCAAATTTGCACTTGAAGTAGTTTGTTAAAAAAGTGACCGACTAGTCTAAATGACCACATGACCGTGAATGACTATATGAAGAAATATTTACCGGATCTGGGATTATATAGAAAGACAGTGTTTTAGTCCGCCGCATACCGCAATTTATAACTGGATCAATAATATAGAATCATTAGAAAAGCCGAGATCAAGTCATTTCAAAGGGAATCGAGCAGCGTTTTCAACAAAATTCTATTTCATAACTGCATCCGATGAATCGCTTTGATTGCACTCTGCAGAAAAAAGTAGACGTAGTAAAGATATACGAATTAAATGCCTAATAAGTATAGATTGACGCAAATATCGAGCTTGCACGCTAATTCGTATGCACCGGTACTTACATGTAATTATATGGGGAACCGATTGCTACAAATTGAACTACCAGCACGGAGCAACTCTCACTGACAACAGTGGAGTTCAGTGCCCTGCTATCTTTTTACAGTGCACAGAGAAAGGGTCAACGACTAAGACAAAGGCTTTTGTCGTAGCAATAGCAACACTATTATTTAATAAATTTAAGCCCAATATGTCTTATGTCTAAATTGCGCTAACTTAATTATATTGATATAACCAGATGTATAATAATATCTACTCACTACCCTTTACGCGCATCTAGCAGTGATAAGTGAAATGATGTAATCACAAAATTGACCAATGAGTACACAGATGGGTGTAATGAGTGTAATATGTATTATTGGGGGTCCAGAATCAGTGCGGTCTACAATAATATATGTATTGAGAGAGTTGCGAATTGGGAGGCTGAGAAATAGTGCGGACTCCGCACAGACTTTATTAAATTCGTGATTAATATACTGTACAGTGAAATGACGTCATTCTCAATAAAGATTAATGCGGTACGCATCAAATTGTAAAACGAATGCCGAACAGTGCAAGGTATCGGTTGTACCGATTAACTCGTGAGGCAGGCATTCCTTGCCTCACACACATTGTGTGACTCTTGTGCGAGTTGTGTTGACAACTTGCCTTGTGCTAAAATGGAAGTTTATTGCCCGACTTTGCCCTGGGTAGGGCCCACATCTCGGCTAAGATGCGGGCCAGCGATTGGAAACTTGCAATTTTTCTACAACCGTCAAAAGTGCGTGTAAACCGATAGATTTGAGGAACCTTCGGATGAGTCTCGTCAAACGGTCGGACAAGAACCTCAACTTCAGTCTAAGTGGATAACTCCGCCATCGGAAAAGGTAACTTGTTCACCCCCGTCTTTACGCGGTGGCTCAACATACGCCCCACGTCCAAGCGTCGAGTACTGTATGAGTCCACCAGTACCCAGGTGGAGGTGAGAAGACCAGGTCCGTCCCAACAAATAGGCCTGCAGGAGATCTTAGACCGCCATGAATGCGTTTTGATCGAGTTGAGAAGGGACTTGAAGCACGACTTCAACCGTCTTATGGCTAGATTACGACCGTGCGACGTCTCTGTACCGATCGGGATAAAGAACGATCGGAATTTCCATTCTCTTAGCGTGGGAACAAACTAGACTTTCGTCTCCTATGCGAAGAGCTAGCGGAGGCTCGTTGCAAGACTGCGGTGCTGAAAGACTAGCATGAAAGTTTGGTCTGTTATCACAATTATCGGTTGAGAATTTTTGAGCGTGCCGGTTGTCTCCGTTCTTGAAAGAGGCCTTGTACTAACAGTACGGGCGCAGACTCCCAGATATCGATGCAGGACGCGTGCGCATCCTACAAAGCGACTCAATCGTGAATGCATTGCTTCGGCGGTGCAATACGTAAAATGGACAAATGTATTTCGGCAGTATTTACTACTGCCGACAATATTGACTGTTCATCTAGGTAGGTTTACGTCAGACAGTAGTACTGGGCCGTTAAACTTTAATGAAAAAAACATAGGCTACTTCATTCTTGTCTGTGCTCCGTTGTTGACGGTTCACACCCTTAGCGGCGAATTCCTATACGAAGTGGAATACCGCTTCTCG